TAGTTGGGTTATTTTCTATCATTTTTTTATTGCATGTAAACAGTATTTTCACTACTTTAGCATTGCTCATAACACGATTTTATGAGAAAATATTTTCCAACTTCTGAGCAAGTGCCAAACTTTGAAAATATAACAAGATTATTGTCCGGGGACAGTCTTTATATGTATGCTGATTAGTTTGTCTCATTTTAATTATTATGGTCTTCTAAAGGGCAAGAAGCTGTTGTCTAATTTATATTATAATCCCAGAGCACTTGATGAAGAGCTCTTTTTAATTTTTGTAAGATGAGAAACTGCCAAAAAAGAAATTGACAGTTTTGAAAAATTAGAATGATTTTTGTAAACTATTGGGGGAAAAAATCTGTGAGGAGAGTTTCAGAGTAATAAATGGAGAAAAATATATTTGTTCAGGAGCTATTCAGGACAGAGAGAGGCCAGCTGGCTGCTCAGCCTGGGTTTTGCTTCACAGCAGCACCCTGTGGTTTAATAGGGTCATCTCAGGTAGAGTAGGAAGCCTTAGCTTCACAGGCTAAAGCCTTCAGTGTCATCTGTTCTAGTGACCGAGAGGTTGAATTGAATTGGCTGCCAGACAGGAGTGAAAGAAATAGGTCTGAACAAGAACTGGCCCAAGTCCAAGGATGTAAAATCTGATAACACGCTTGCTGGCTTAAAGGGAACTGAAGGAATATTCTCTATCCTCTCCTTCCCTAACCCTTCCTGATAAGGAACATGGGGAATGCTCTAGGGAAGGGACCAAGTGTAGTGATGGCTGGAAATGAATAAGACAGAGCTTTTTCAGGGCAGCTATGTGGCACAGTGAATAGAGCACCAGCCCTGAAGTCAGAAGGACCTGAGTTCAAATACGGCCTCAGACCAAAGACTTGACACTTACTAGCTGTGTGACCCTGGGCAAGTCACTTAACCCCAGCTGCCAAAAAAAAAAAAAGAGAGAGAGCTTTTTCCAAGAGATAAAGTGATGTTGAACAAAGAGTAGTTTTAGGAAGAGTGAGGCAGAGGAAGAGAAGAACTGATGACACGTAATGATCAGAGGAAGGAATTTCAGAGTTCAGAATCATGGAAGTGGTAGAGTTTAGAGTAGTGGTAACCCTTTAGATGGCTGAGATAGAGTGAAGATGGAGATCATGGGAGTTGAGGAGGCTGATGAACTGGAAGGCCAGAGCATTTGAAGAGAACTCAAAATTAACATTTAGGGCCCCTAGCAAGAACACAAGGCAGTAGATAAAGTGCCAGGCCTGGAGTCAGGAAGACTCATCTTCCCAAACTTAAATCTGGCCTCAGAGACTTACTAGCTGTGTGACCCTGGGCAAGTCACTTAACCCTCTTTGCCTCAGTTTCCTCACCTGTAAAATGAACTGGAGAAGGAAAAGCAAACCACTCTAGGATCTCTGCCAAGAAAATCCCAAATGGGGTCATGAAGAATCAGACACAACTGAAATGACTGAACAACAACCATGACTACAGGGGCTTGGGGTGGAGAAGACTGAACCAAATCCCGCAAAACAGAAGGGAAAGTGACCAGAGGCTGGTAGATGGCAGCAACAAGGATCTAGTTTAAGATGATACAGACAGAGTGAACCTCAGAGGAGACAGAGCGGGGTCTGGAGGTGGCAGGGCTGAACAAGGCTTATCCCAACTTCTCCCCAGTTAGGATGAGGGCTTCTTGAGGGTAGAGACTGTCTTGCTTTTGTTTTTATCCCTAGAGTATAGTACACTGTGTGGAATGTTGTAAGTACTTTAGAAATGCTTTCTCATTCATTCATGGCCTGAGAGAAGGAGCCACTACTTCTAGAGAGGGTGGTGAGGATGAAGTCTCGTATGGAGAAAGCCTGATTTCTATAGGCACAGGAAAATCAAGAACAGGAGAGAAAAAGATCTTAGATGAAGAGAGCTTGATAGTAATTGAGTGGAATTTCCAGGAGCCATAGTGGAAGGGGCAAGCAAAGAATGATGGACATTAGGGAGGAATAGAGCTGGCTAGGAATAGAGGGAATAAGAACTAGATAGGGATGAAGGTATATGGAAAGGTAAAAGGAAAGGGAGTTTACCCCTTACAGACAGTGATTCTAAGTCATAGGTATTAGAGAATGAGGAAAGAAACAGGAATTGCCTATTAATTGGAGTGTTCACTTAGAGCAGAAGAGGGGAGGCTTCATGGTAATGGTGATCAGAAAGGTCATGTAGAGGAGCAAGCCACTAATACTAGGACCACTGAGTGGTTAGGAAACCATCTAACTCTTCTGTTCCTCTCTCTCTCTATCCTTCAGAAGGTCTGGTTCTGGGGCTACTTCCATTTTATGGCACTGTAATACTCCATTTCATATACTATAATTCACTTAATGATTCCCTAGTACATGGTCATCCACTTAGTTTGGGGTTACTATGAAAAAGTGGCCATAAATATTTTTGTACATATGGGTCCTTTTTCTCTTTCTTTGGTCTCTTTGGGGTATAGGTTTAATAGTGGTATTTCTGTGACATAGGGTATGCACAGTTTAGTACATTGGGGGCCATAGTTCTGAACTGCAATCCAGAATGGCTGACCAATTCACAGCCCCACTAATGGTGCGTTAGTGTGCCCATTTTCCCAAAACCTCTTCAACATTTGTCATTTTTCTCTTTTGTCATCTTTGTCAGTCTTATAGAAGTGAGCTGGAACATCAGAGTTTCTTTAATTCGCATTTCTCTAATTATTAGAGATTTGGAGCATTTTTTTCACATGGTTGTTGACAGTTTGGATTCCTCCCTTTGGAAACTGCCTGTTCACAGCTTTTGACCATTTATTTATCTATTAGGGAATGACTCTTAGTCTTATAAATTTTAACCAGGTCCTTACATAGCCTACATATGAGATCTTTTTTCAGAGACACTTGCTACAAAGATTTTCTCACAGTTATTTGTTTCTTTTCTAATTTTAATTGCATTAGATCTGTTTATGTAAAAACTTGCAATTTTACATGATCAGAGTTGTCCATTTCATCTTCTGTGTTCTTTTCTGTCTGTTATTTGGTCATGAATTCTTCCCTAATCCGTAGATCTGAAAGATATTTTCTCCCTTGCTCTTTAATTTTTTTCTGTTGATTTGCCCCTACATTAAAGCAAAATACACATACATACATGCAAATGGACATATGTTGGTTGGCTGTTGGCCTTTGTTCTCGAAGTGGACCAAAATGACATCACTATATTAGAATCAAGTTACAGTGTGTCCAACGGTGGCTGATCAGACTAATTCAAACTTGGAGCTTGGAATGCTCTACCACAGAGTTTTGGGGTGGTTTCTCTAAATCTTTGCATTTTGCATTTCTTTTGAGTTACTTCAATTCTGCTTTGCTCATAGCTCATAGCATCTTCTCTAATGAGGGCACGCCATATTGTGCCAGCATCTCCCATGTCTCACAATCAATTCCAAAGTTAAGAGAGACCTTGACAGTGTCCTTGTATCGCTTTTTCTGACCACCATGAGAGCGCTTGCCCTGTGTGAGTTTTCCATAAAAGTCTTTTTGGCAGGCGTATGTTTGGCATTCAATACATTGTACAGACCATTTGGCACATGTACAAACCATTTTTGATGGTATAGGGAATTAAAATTCCTTAGCAGGGTCTCTTTCCTAGTTCTGGCAACTTAAATTAAGATGATTCTTATTTCAAGATCTTATATACCAGAGTCATGCGAAATATGATAACTGAAAGCCAAAATAACAGCCTCAAAAAAACCCCAAAAAACTAACATCCCTTTGCATTCTGACTTTTAGAAAACATGGTGACCTCCGGCCCAGGTCACCCTTAGAAACAACTTTAAACCATGGTGAAGGGCTCTGTGTTAATTTACATTTTGCTTAACCTTGTTTATTTGTTAAATTGTTATTGATTTTGTTTTTCTCTCACCTTTATTTCTAAAAATATCTCTCCTCCACGTCCAACGAGCCATTCCTCATAACAGAGAATTCGAAAAAGAAAGATTAAAGACAATTCAGCCAAACAAAATAACATCAGCCCAGTCTGTGGGTGGCACAGCCATAGTCCCCCATCTCTGCAAAGATGGAAGGAAGAGGTACTTCTTTGGGGCCAAGATTATGACCCCATTATTTAACTGCTGCAAAAGGTTTTTTGGAGGAAATGAGATGCTTATCTTGATACTAGCAGGAAACCAATGCCCAAGGCTCTTGACAAGTGATCTGTTGTGCAGCTGTCAGTTGATATGAGTTTGCCAAAGGCCCCAGAGAGCCAAAATTCCCCAGGCTGAGGATCACTAGAAGCAAAGCTCATTCATTGTATGACTCCCTAAGTTTGATGTGCAAGGAACTATTTATTCTAAATTAACCTGGGCCCTCCTTTCTCTGTCCTTCCTGCTTTAAATTTTAACATTTCTACTGTTTCTAATATCACATTTGGGTCAGGCATTAGATGATTGAATAAAAAAAAAGTAGCCTTGGCAAATGAAATGAAGGGATAGGAATACATGATCCCATTTCTAATTCTGGTTCTGCTGCTCCGTGAGACCTTTGGCACACAACCAGATTCCCTGTCCCTGTTTCTACAAAAGTGGTATTATCATCCTAATTCACAAAATCCCCTAAGATCCTTGTTTGAAACAGCCCTTTGTAAGTGCTTAGAAAGCCAGGACTGTATCTCCGTACCTGATGTAGCCCTGTGCCCAGCCCAGCCCGGTGCTGCATACTCATGCGTAATAAATAATACCTTTGGCTGGTGATAGTCTTTGAAAGACTCTGTGATTCAAAGAAGATTTTGTCCCCTTTTCTTTGTTGGGGCCGAGGGGCTTCCTTTTCCTAGCCCCAGCTCTGTTTGCTGTCATTGAAAGTGCACTTTGTCCTAGACTCGCCATATGAAAGACTAGAATGTATCCCAACCAACTGCCTGAACTCTTCCAGAGTAGAGAGGAAATCATGTTGTAGCCCAGCTAAAGCTGACCGTCCCTGCTGAATAAATGAGTGTTGTTCCCTCTTCTTTTGTATACACAGGCTCGCTTTTCATACATGCGGATGAAATACCTTTTCTTTTCCTGGCTGGCAGTATTTATTGGAAGTTGGATTATATATGGCCAATACTCTACTTATACAGAGCTATGCAGAGGGCAGGACTGTAAGAAAATAATAGTAAGTATTGATCTTTTATGATTTAGAGTTTATTGAATAGCCTTTTAATAGCCTAAATACTATTTAAGTATTGTCATTTAAGTCATTACTTTCAAACTATAAAGATTCATTCTATTTACTGGAATTTTATTTCACTAAATTGTCCTAACAAGGATTTATTCTAAATTATAGGAATAATCTTACAATTTAGTGGTAGTTTGGCACAGTGCATAGAGAACCAGCTTTGGAGCAATGAAGACCTAAGTCCAAGCTGTGCCTGGACACATACTGGCTCCATGGTCCTAGATTTAACCTTTCAATGACCCCAGAGAGTTCTTCAAGATTCTGGGTTGCAGAGAAGGTGTCATCCTGCCTGGGGGAAGGTGAGGAATCCTCAGGAGTATCTTGCACCGATGAAATCTCAGGCCCAGCCCGTCCTACATCTATCTACCTTAAAAAAAATACATGAGATCAATTTTTGCAATAAAAATAAAGGAGGGTATGATTATTCTTACTATAAAAGGATTCTTCTGAGGGCTTCTGGGAAGATGGCAAAGACATCTTAAAAGTAATAATAAAAATGCCAAAAAGAAATAATTGCTGCAAGTTCTCACAAGAAAATTAAAACTTAGCCAAAAGAAATAAATGTGTTGAATAAGAGCTATGATATGATAAAAATATTATGTAGTCAGAGAGGTAAAGCAAAAAGTCCCAGAAGTGCACACTGAAATTTCAGAATTAGCATCAGACATGGTGCAGGAAATCTGAAGAGACTCCAGTTGGGAACTCCAAGAATTTAACAATGTAGTTAGAGCATCAGCCACAAACAGGAGCAAATGAGGACTTTGCCCTCATAGGGAGTCTCTCTTCGGCTGTTTGAGAAACCTTACCTGTGGCAATAAGTCACGAATATGATTAAAGGGTTTCATACATACCCAGATTTTCATAACAGCCCCTTTGTGGTTGCAAAAAACTGGAAACAAAGTGAATACCCATTGATCGGAGAAATGGCCGGACAAATTGTGGTATGTGGATGTAAAGGGCTATTACTACTGCCCTGTAAGAAATGATGGATATAAGGATTTCAAAGAAACATGAGAAGACTTACGCGAACTAATGCAGAACAACAACAACAAAAAAAAAAAACAACCCAGAATCAAAAGAATAGTACACAAAATGACTAGAATAATTTAAATGAAAACTATTTTTTTTAGGCAATTGGGGTTAAGTGACTTGCCCAGGGTCACACAGCTAGTAAGTGTCAAGTGTTTGGTCTGAGGCTGGATTTGAATTCAGGTTCTGCTGACTAGCTGCCCCTGAAAACAATTTTAAAAGGCAGCTGAATTCAGATTAACTGCAGTGATCAGAGCTGGTCCTGGAAAGGGGTAGGGGGATGGAAGAAGCATTTGCATAGCACCTACCAAGTACCAGTCACTGTGCTTAGCACTTTACAGTTATCATCTGGTTTGATCCTCACACCAGCCCTGGGAGGTAGGTGCTGTTATTATCCCCATTTTACAGATGAGGAAAGTTAGAGGTGAAGTGACCTGCCCAGGGTCACTGCTAGTTAAAAAGTGTCTGAGGTCACACTCCAACTCCAGTCTTCCAGACTTCTGGCCCAGTGCTCTGAAGACTGTAGCGCCACCTATCTGTGAATGAATCAAATTAAAATGTAGGGAAATGTTTAACAAAACAAATTAAAATACAGCACAACACAGATATTAATACAGTAAAAAAAAAAGCACAACATGTTCATTTGTGGTTTTCTAAGTCAATATATATCAAGAGGGATCTGTTTCTATTTGAGTTTTACACCCCCACACACAGCCCTGATTCTCTCCCCCTCTCCCCCCAGCCCCCAGCAATTTATTAAGAAACTTATGCTCATGAAAGTCAAATGATTTCCCAAAGTCCCACCGGTAGAAAGTGGCAGAGCTCAGAGCTAATCCCGGGTCCTGTGATTACAAATTTAATGTTCTTTCCATTGCACCGCTGTATATTATTGGCTGACCCAGGCAGATAAAGGCATCCTGTTACCAGCTTAGACAAATTCTAAGTTGGTACTACTACCTTTTCGGAGTGTGATCTAACAATATATAATGAGCTACCAAATTAATCATACCCTTTGACCCAGTGACTCCACTTTGTACGAGTACCACAGCCTGAAGATGGGAAAAAGGAAAAAATGACTAATATACACAAAAATATTCACAGCTTTTTTATTTATAATTTTGAAAAAAAATAGAAACAATCTGTACGTATAATTTTGGGGGAACAGCTAAAGAAAGGAGGGCATATAGGTGTAATAGAATGCAGAGAAATATGGGAAGACCACAAAGTGATCCACATCGAAGAAAGTAGAATTAGAAAAACAAATAGGTCATAAGATTTTTTTTTAAGCAGCAGCACCAAAACTTTGTAAGTTTCAAAAACGAGATTGGGACCAATTACCTGCTATTATTTTGTTAAAGCTTGGTCTTTTTTTTTTAATGTAAAAAGTTTGGTATTTTATTCCTTATTTCTCTTGTATTTTTAAGGTTGTTATTAAGTTTATACTAATTTTTTAAAAAAACTGTAAAGAGGCATTTAGCAGAACCCTCAGTGAACAACAACATAGGTTTTACTGACATCTCTCTTTTAACTAGTTTTTTCAATCTAATTTGCATATTAAAATTTTATTTCCACACAATTTTCAGAATTGTATGTACTGCATAAAGCAAGGTGGGCAGCTCGATGGTGTGGTGGGTGGAGAGAGCACTGGCCCAAGAGTCAGGAAGACATGAGTTCAAATTCAGCCTCAGACACTTACTATCTGTGTGACCCTGGGCAAGTCACTTAACCTCTGTTTCCCTTAAGCCATTGAAGAAGGAAATGATGAAGGACTCCAGTGTCTTTGCCAAGAAAACTCCAAGTGGGGTCACAAAGAGTCAGATATGACTGAATACCAGCAGCCCAATGTAAATATCCACAACTAGAAAACATGTACTTTTCAGATCCAGTTTTGTCGCCCTTCCCGTTGATCGGGTGTCCCGAAAACTGTCTGTCCCACGCTGTTGCTGTAAGCCCTGCCACAGGATACACTGTCTCTTTGGCAATAGGACAGCTGATGTTGGGGATGTTTACAGAGCTGCAGAGTAAATCCCATTCCTTGCTTTTTAGTAACACCTTCACAGGGGACAGAAACAAAAGTCAGTCAGGGAATTATATTTGGATTAAGATGCCTTGTGATCACACTTATTCTAATGGCGTCTTACATGAACACTTTTCAAGACTTTCAGGCCCATTGTTTCATATTAGATAAAGATCAGTTTCATGGTAGACAGTCTGTCAATCATAAAGTTAGGCATATTATTCCCTAGAAGCATCAGACTCCTGAATTATCCAGAGAGAAAATTAAAAAGGGAAAGGAGTATTTGAAGAGAGATGATTTGACAGTCACATGGTCCAGAGACACAGAGATTGTATGGCCTAGGCCGGCAGTATCCATGCCCATCTCGCTTGGGCAGTTCAGATTTCCTGGGATTCTTCAGGGATGTGGAGAAAGAAAGGATGGAAGCAAATGACTGTCAAAAATTGAAGAAAAATACCATGAGGCTCCCGTGAGGAAAGGGGGGTGAAGAAGCAGAATGACAGTATGCCAACTTCAGGAAGGACAGAACAGCAGCCTTATATAGCACTCAACCTATTTGCGGTTTTATTTCACAGCTTTGTGATAATAGAACTAAGATTAAAGAGATAAGCTGCCCTCCAGCTTCTCGTGTTAACCACGTCACAGCCTGCTAAATACTGGGCATGTAGCATGAGTCCAGCCACCAGCCAATTGCCGGTGACTGGGCCAACAGATCAGCCTCACTGAGGTTGAGCCGGAGGTTGGCGTGTGCCCGGTGAGGCAAACCCCTGCAGCCACCTGGACAATCACCCTCCTTAGATTGGCCTGGACCCTGAAACCAAGAGCCCTGGGAACAGTAGTGCCCTTGGACACCCAGTCCTGCATGCAGCTAGCCCTAGCAGCCATCATCCAGGGGAGCAGTGCCTGCAGAGAAAGCATCCCCCCACCACTACCACCACCACCACCACAGGGCAGGCAAGCTGTCCTAGCGGAAGCAACAAGACGTGTTGAAGAGGCAGCATGTGCCAGGTGGCTCAGACCACTGTCACCACTTCCTCTCCGGACCCTATGCCTAAGAGCTCTGAGAATAGCAGCGTGCCCCAGAACACCGATCCCTGCTTCAGCCTGACTCACAGCCATGGTCTCACCGCCAGCACCATCGGTATCATCAGGTGGTTCAACAGCAGAAACAGATGGTTTTGTGAATAGAAAAAGCCTTTAGAGAAGATGATCACCACCTGCTTTGCTTCAGCACCGTATGGATTCCTGGGTGATTTCTCCTGCCCTGAAGTTGAACTCTCCCATATGTGTTCATTTCCCTTCCCCTACACACACACACATTAGAATATAAGCTCCTTGAGGGCAGGGGCTGTTTGGCTCTTTTACTTGTATCGCCAGAACTTAGTACACTGTGTTGTGTACATAGTAAGTGCTTAATAAATGATTTTCTATTCACATGTTCCCAAAGTCTATGTTGAATGAATCCAGGCCATTATCTTCACACAGGAATTTTTGCAATGACTGGTTTGTTTTTCTTCACTCTGTCCCCCGCACACCATGGGCAGAGGATTTAAAGGAGGAGTGATTTCTGAATGGACACTCCCTTCCCTGTGGCAACCCATCTCCCCTCCGTGCATCACCAGCTGACAGACCCTCTTTGGACAATCATCTCAAGTATTCGAGTCTGCTGGACCTTAAGGATCCCGTTTGGACACCCAGATGGAGCGCTGGCCCTGGAATCAGAAAGATCTCAAATCCTATCTCAGACACATACTAGCTGTGTGACCCTGGGGAAGTCACTTCACCTGTTTGCCTCAGTTTCCTCATCTCCAAAATGGGGATAATAATAGCACCTACCTCCTAGGGCTGTTGTGAAGATCAAACAGGATAGTAATTATAAAGCACTTAACAC